CCCAAATTTTAATATAAAAGGGGGCGGGAATCTTGGCGCCAATGTTGGGACAAAAAATTATGATTATTTTCCGTCTTAATTTGATGTTTAGTATTTTAAAAAGAGATTAATTACTATGTATTGTTAGTGTAAATTTTTTTACACAATTAGTATATCACAATCATTTACAAATATTATTTTATAAATAATTAAAATAAAAATTAAATTTTAATAAATATTTAACGGTCACGATTCAATTGACAATGTAAAGCTGCTTTACATAGTCAATGGATACCAATTAAATTCTTTTAAAAATTTGTTTTTTCATTTTATATCATGTTATGATAAATTATATTGTTTTATGACATAAAGTAAATAATTAAATAAAAAAGAGAATTTATTTTCAATTTATGTAAGAAAAAATAAAAGAATATTCTTCAAACGTGTCTTTGAAGAAGTAAATAAAAAAATTGAATGGAAATAAAGAAGACAAAAAGTTGAAAGATGAAAACGTGAGAAGAGAGGAGAAACCCATGTCACTCTGTCTTCTCATGTTCTTTCGCTGACCTCCCAAAACGCTGATATTGTCTTGCTTTCTCTAACTGGTGTCCTATTTCCTCCTCTCACCGTAATTTTTCATCTTCGTCTTCTAGTCTTCACCGCCGTAGGTACGAAATACTTTCTATTCTTAGACACAATTATTCATCGTGTTTTCATTTTGTAAGATTTTTGCTTATTTGTTATTTTGTTTTGTTTTGAGTATGAAGAAAGATTACAGATCTGAAAGTAGTAACATCGTAAGATATTAGGTATCCGCAATTGAAAAGATTTGTTATTTAATCTTTTTAATAAAGGTTTTTTAAACTTGAAGACAAACATAAGATTTACATTAGAATTATTATTTTTAGAATAAACATCCTTTGCATATGAACAAGTGTTTAAACATCAAATAAGCTTGCATGAAGAACATCAAATGAAAATTTTCATTATCCCGAGAGACAAATTGATTCAAGATATCGTTGAAAGGTAAATCATTTTTGAGAACGAACTTAATTTGGGGCAGACTTTCTTTTGACTCTGTTGAGTAAAAGAATACCAGTTTGAGAAATGGTATGAAGCAGATTATGCAAAAGTTGATTGCCCAGAGTCTCTATCGAGTAGTGGTGCATTATTTTCAGTTGGTACCGAGGGACAAGATTTTTTTCAAGCATCCGATTGAAGAACGAATCAATTAATATTGAGAAATATGGTTGTGTAGTAGCCTACTTTCAAGACGTAAGTCAATCACCCTAGGGGTATGATGATTTCAAAACTCCGCGAGCTTCTCATTTCTCTGTGGGCATGAGACGAGGAAGTGGTTTGTCGAGACACTGTTGAGCAGGGGAAAGCATGTTGAATACTCTGTTGAGTAAGTGTTCAGCCAATCTGAGACATTCAAATCGGGATTTTATCCCTCAAAGTGCAATCAAACTGGGGCAGTTATGTTGATATTTTACAAATCTCTTTAAAATTGGATCTCATTCTACAGAATCTCTTTAAAATTTGAAGATGCAAGGGCATTCACTTAAGTATGGTTAAAACCGCTTCCAACTATGATCAGTCAGGGGCAGTATTCTAAAGTTCATAACACTGTGCTGTTTATCTTGATGGTACAGATCTCAAAAAGTCTTCTCGAGGCAATTTTCTTCAAAAGCCTTACAGACTGGGGCAAGAAATTATGCATGGGCATTTTCTCCTCTTCGAGGGCTGATCAGATTAAGTCCAGGCGCAAGCTAAATAATTTGTGTACTTGAAGAGCACGCGGGAAGTCAAGATTGTTATTCTCGGCACATCAGAGACTTAGGTCCATTTATTAATGTTCCTTTATCAGAAGTCAGGATCATTGTCTCCAATCGAAGTTGGATCATTATCCTCAGTGGGATATGAGCAGGAATGCAAAGAACATGTGAGGTTTTTTACCCATACTAGGGGTTGGTGGTTTCGAGTCTCGGTGCCCCATTGAAGTTCAGATTTCCTTTTCTCTATAGAAGATCATATGTGCGAGAATAATCGTTCGGAAGTTCATTGTCTTCCCAACAGCCGACTATTGACGTGCTTTCTGTAGTGCATTTCTAAACATTCATCTTTACATTACATCTACCAAAACGCGTAGCATTTACATTGTATGGAGCATTACGCTATAAAAAATTCAAACATGCATAAGTATAAGACCATTGTGTTTACCTATAGTGACTAGATTTTTGTGTGCTCAGATTTGAATTATCTCCACAACAAGCTTAGGGTGACCCTTTTCTGTTTCCCCAACAGAGTTTGTTTTGATTTACCACCGGTTGGGTCTCTGGTATTTCCCATTCCCCCAATAATTCATGGTTCTCTCTTGCCCTTGAAAGCCTTTGGTTATTTTACCCGTGTTTGCTTTGTCGTCAGAGTGTGAGTAAGAGTCAGTGTATAACCTTTCCTATTTCTCAAGTATTTGAGTATCCATACATGGTGTTTGGTAATTTAGATGATTGCCGCTCTTGAAGAAATACACCCCCCGCCTTCGGCCTGGAGGATTTTGTAGTCCTTGCGTATTTGTAACTCTTAAAGTCCAACATGTGTTGGCAATCCGTGTTTAGAGTCCCTACAGCTGGTCTCTCTTTTCTAATCACAAGTTCTCCTTCGATCAGTATTCTATTCAGAGTCAATGTCGCGTTGTATCCCCAGAAAGTCCGCCTCTGGACAACATTCTCTCTCCAAAAGTCTACCTTTGGCTTAGCTTCCTTGTTGATGCACCCTTGTGCAGGCATCCTTTGTTAAGAGTCTACGCTGATCGATCTCTTTCTTATATGTGTTTAACTCTGACTAGACATGTATATTTTACCCCCAGTTTGCCTTCATTTGGTGTTATTTCTCCAAGAGTCTATATGCCGTTAGTATTCCTTGATATGTCCGGTCGAGGTCACTTTTTTAGATCTCTTCCGTCTCCAATATCTTCGGTCGAGTCCGCTGTGTTAAGTCTCTTCCTTCTTTGATATCTTTGGTTAAAATCGCCGTGTTAGATTTCTTCCTTCCTTGATAATATCTGGTCGAGATCACTTTGTTAGATCTCTTCCGTCCCTGATATCTTCGGTCGAGTCTGATGTGTTAGGTCTCTTCCTTCTTTGATATATTTGGTTGAAATCGTTGTGTTAGATTTCTTCCTTCCTTGATATATATGGTCGAGGTCACTTTGTTAGAACTCTTCCTTCTCCGATATCTTCAGTCGAGTCTGTTGTGTTAGGTCTCTTCCTTCTTTGATATCTTTGGTTGAAATCGCTGTGTTAGATTTCTTCCTCCCTTGATATATTTGGTCGAGGCCACTTTGTTAGATATCTTCCGTCTTGGATATCTTCGGCCGAGTCCGCTGTGTTAGGTCTCTTCCTTCTTTGATATCTTTGGTTGAAATCACTGTGTTAAATTTCTTCCTTCCTTGATATATCTGGTCGAGATCACTTTGTTAGATCTATTCTGTCTCTGATATCTTCGGTCGAGTCTGCTGTGTTAGGTCTCTTCCTTCTTTGATATGTTTGGTTGAAATCGCTGTGTTAGATTTCTTCCTTCCTTGATATATCTGGTCGAGGTCACTTTGTTAGATCTCTTCCGTCTCCAATATCTTCGGTCGAGTCCACTGTGTTAGGTCTCTTCCTTTTTTGATATCTTTGGTTGAAATCGCTGTGTTAGATTTCTTCCTTCCTTGATATATCTGGTCGAGGTCACTTTGTTAGATATCTTCCATATCCGATATCTTCGGTCGAGTCCGCTGTGTTAGGTCTCTTCATTCTTTGATATCCTTGGTTGAAATTGTTGGGTTAGATTTCTTCCTTCCCTGATATATTTGGTTGAGGTCACTTTGTTAGATCTCTTCCATCTCTAATATCTTCAGTCGAGTCCGCTGTGTTAGGTCTCTTCCTTCTTTGATATCTTTGGTTGAAATCATTGTGTTAGATTTCTTCCTTCCTTGATATATCTGGTCGAGATCACTTTGTTAGATCTCTTCCGTCTTCGATATCTTCGGCCGAGTCCGTTGTGTTAGGTTTCTTCCTTCTTTGATATCTTTGATTGAAATCACTGTGTTAGATTTCTTCCTTCCTTGATATATCTGGTTGAGATCACTTTGTTAGATCTCTTCCATCTTCGGTATCCTCCTTATGTCCGCTACTAACTCCAGAAAAATGTTCCTTGATAACCAAGCTCTCTTCTATATGTCTAACCTAGGTTTGACATACATTTATCCCCGATAACCCCTTTTACCCAAAAAGTAAAAAAATAAAAATATAGAAAACCAAAAAATATAATAATACCTGACTGGCCCCAGAGCGCAATTTTTGGGTTCTTTTAGTATTTAATCTTCTTCCACCTTGAAAGTTCGAAAGGCTAGCACCAATCTCACCTTCAGGTTGAAGGCGATTAAATAGGGGCAGCTGTTGCACCCCAAAATTTTCCCTCATAATTTCTTTTATTTGGCTTAGGCTTTTGCATTCATCTGCATATATTCCATTAGGTCATTAACATGACATTGCATTTAATAAAGTACCATGGGTTCAAAGGACCAGTGAAGTAGCAATATCATGGTTTTACAGTGATTAGTCGTGCATATCAAATAAAGGTTGGTTTCTTCTGATTCTCCTGGCTAGTCTTCTATAAGCAGCAAAGTGTGGAGTTAGGGTTTGTTTGTTCATTGGTTTCATATTCATTATGAACAATTATCCCATCAACTAAGACTCAGTGGATTATAGTTGTATCTCATTGGCTATCTCAAGCATCCTTCGAGTCTTATTCCCTCAACATATCAAATGTTTCTTAAGTGGATTAGGGTTCATGTCCGTAGTGTTGGCACTGGTTAATTCAATTAAAGATTCATTATGCTCCAACATCATTCTTTTAATACTTGTCTCTTGAGATTGAAATGAGTTTGAAGCTAGAAATTTTATCAAGAAGGCAAGTTGATTTGGTTTTTTGCTCATTAAAAATTGAAGTCGTTTTGAATCCATTGTGGCGGGATGTTCATTCATGTGGGTTATGAATTCAGTGTTACCAAGCGATCAATTGGTATGATCCAAGATTTTGGTTTATGGATTTTCTATGGCATCAAAATTGATTCATCAAGAATCAATACAAGAGGTGCATTAAGATTTTTATTGAGGATCCACATTTCATCAATTCAAGGTGCATTTGTGGCTTGGACTATGAAGTGTAGACCATGGTCTTGGCACAAGGAGAATATAGTTTGGATTTATCTATCCACAACACAATCAATTAAGGTTTTGAGTTTTTTGATTCAAAGAGGTGTCTTTGGCTTGGAGTGCAAGGTGTGGACAATATGAACTTCAACATTGAATCCGGTTTTTCTATGAAATTCAAGCACGGCGTAACATTTGATTAAGATCCAAGTATTGATTCAAGATATTGTTTTGAGTTATAAGGCAAGCGTCATGGTTAGTTCAAGTATTGGATTCATTTTCCTTTTGATAACATAAAGCCAAGATTTTGATTGACAATATTATTTCAAGCATGTAATTGGAGTTCAACTATGGTGGAACTATGAAAGGTACATAACTTGATTCAAACATCATGGAATTCATCATTCAAGTATTGATTCAAGTCCATTCAAATAATCAAACATCATTTAAGGTTCTAAACAAGGTTCTTCAAATCCCATTCAAAAGACATATAAACCCATCCAAGTTTATTTCATTCACTCGAGTTTAAATACAAGTTCAAGGTATGATGTAGCTTATTACAAAGTCATGCTTAAACCAACTTATTATCATTCCAGATTTGAAATAGTTTAAAGATTGAAAAAGAAAAGAAGCTCAGACTAGAAAGTTAAGATGGAACAAATTTGCTTACAAGATAATACAAGGTTTATCCTATTACAAGTACATGGTTCCTTTACATGCTTGAAGCATACAAAAATAATTAATTACAAGGCATTTGGTTCTATGTTTCTAAGCCTAAAGCTCTAAATTCTTAAGGCTACAACCCCATGCTTTCACCAAACTGTGCATCTGCTGCTTCTTACCAGTCTTTATCAACATGCCTTGGCTTCAATAGAAGGAAACCTGATGGCCTGGTTAACACTTATGTTTCTATTGAAGAGTTTCCTGAGGAAGATGAAAATATCAGGATTGAAGAAAATAATGATTCCAATAAAGATAACCTACTCAATCAGACGAGACTTTGTGGAATTTGCCAAGGATAGCCGAAAGAATCTAGCAAATAATAAATAGAAGTACAGCCAGTTTGGTTCACAAAAAAACTGCATCAGGGAAAATTCAGAGTTAATTCAGGAAAAACCAGGAGAAATTACAGAATTATCCAAATAGTTACAACCCATCTATACACTTACATTTTAAATTAGAAGAAATGACTCGACCATGCATTCAAGGGGCCAAAGACCATTCAGTATCAGAGAAGTTTTCAATTCGAAAAAGACAGCATCTTGGAAACCTGGTTCAAGAACACATTAAGCATACAAGTTCAAAATTATCCCTGCATATAAGAACCAAAGCAGTTGGCATATCCACAAATAACTATGCCTATATTAAATGTCCATAACAGTTTCCATCATTCTAACCATTTCCAACTTTTCCATTTTTTTAACCTGCAAACAGAACTTCTAACAACATTCAGAACCAGATTAGTGCATATGTGGTTTCAAGGAACTTTAAACATTCATAAACACGCAGCCCTGCATACGCATTATTTAACTCCTAATTTCCTTAACCACTAACAATTTTTTTAACAGTTTCAATAATTGATTTCAATAAAAATAGAAACAGAATTATAAACTAATTGATAACTAACTCGAACAAACAACTAACAGCCATAACAGAATTCCAAAACTAACTAACCGTACAAATAATTGATTAACAGTCTAAACACTCCTAATTGATTTCATAACAACCTCTAACTAACTTTCCTAATCTAACTTCCCAGATTTCTAACCGTTTCCTAACAACAACAACAAAATTATAAAAACAGAAAAAACTCACCATTCAGAGGGATGCTTCAATACTCTGTAGAATAAAAGAATACCAGAAAACTCTCTCTCCAAATTTCTGCATCCACTCTCCAATTCAGAATAAAAGAATCACAAAAACTCTCTTTTCACTGGGATCTTCCTTCTTCCTTATCTACAATCTTGATCCCTTTCACTTCTTCTCCACCATATTCTCTTTCTACTTCCTTCTCCATCACCAAAAAGAAATCTCCACAAAAATTCTCTCCCCCTCTGAAACTCTCGCCAATTTTCTGCTTCACTTTAATCTCAATCTTCATCTTCTTCATCATCATCATCATCATCATTATCAAGAGTCCGCAATCTGCTTCAACGGTAAAGACACGTTAACAAATCACGCGTCAAAACTCAACCAATTCAGAAACACGAGAAGAAGAAGAGGACGCAAATACAAAAATATCGGAAGAGGTCGAAGACCAAACTCTTACCTGGAGATATTTGGTTGTCTGCTGCTAATCACCTTCGCCAAATATGCATCGGATGTTCTCTGATCGATAAGTATTGATCTCTCTCCATTCTTCACCAATTTTGTTATATCGCAACATTCTTTATTAGCAGTCGGTATGGATTTTAGAGAAAGTGAATTGAATCAATGAAGGTAAGATGGTAAGCGGTCGTGTGGTCATGGTGGAGTGTGTCGCTAACGGATAAACTTGAGAGAGTCAGAAGAGGTTGAAATTGACTGAGAGATGAAGGCGGGTTGAGGTCGCCGCTGTGAAGATTGAGCAGAGTCAAAGGGGAGAAGAGGTTAATAACACCAATGTTGCTTGATGAGATAAGAGGAGGAGAGAGTTTCTGAACGATGAAGTTGAGAAGTCATAACCTCTAACCCTAATTTCTCACACCAATATCGTTCCTTTTTTTTATTATTATTCTTTTTTGTTTGTTTCTAAATTCAAACCAATAATGATTATATTGAAAAAGGTTGAATGATGAACTTGGTGTTGTTTGTTGGACCGAGTTCCACCCTTTGACTTAGGCCTAGGACTTGGACCAAACTACACTTTCCAAAGCCCATAATGGATTTTTTTGGCTGCCTGGTTGTTTGTGGCAAAATCTGCTTGTGGACCATCTCCGAATTGGGCTTAGAGCTAGTTTGCTTACTGCACATCCTGTTTTCAGGCTGACGCCCCTGTGTAGTTTTTATGTTTCTTTAGTTCTTTCTTTTCATAATTGTTAGATAATAATTTTTGTTAAAAAGGGAAAATATTAAAATAACAGAAACATTAATGAAAAAATGTTAGATTTTTTATTTTTTATTTTAGGAATTAAACCTCGATTATCCGATTACTTGAGATTGGTGATTCACCTTTGCTTGTTAATATTTGAGTCTTATGCAGGTTTATTGTGTGATATGCGGATGCGCTTGAGATTTCGATTGTGATTTATTTTCACATCGATAATGCTTCGAAGTTTATTCCGAGCATTTGATTTCTGACTCTTTTCTTTGCTTGGTAAAGCTTACTCGAATTTTTCTGGATTTCTTTGTTTTGATATGCTTTGCTACAGATTAATATCCGTTTGGTATTTTCCCTTGATTATCTCATTTCAGAATTTTACCGCTTTCTAGAGATCATGAGAAGTAGGAAATAAAGAGCGTGCACTCGAAGTCACTATTTAAATACCTGTAGCAGGCATTACGCACTTCGTTTGCTATATGTGTTGTGCTTGTGTTTGTTTCCTTGGTTGTTGATCAATGAGTCACTCAATTTAGAAATTGAGATCACGACTTTTCTCTCAGTACATGCTCCCTATAGGATTTTATCGCTTTCCTTGATTTCTTTTTGATCGATGAGCCACTCAATTTAGAAATTGAGATCACGACTTCACTCTCATTGTATGTTCCCCATAGGATAGTTTTTGTTAGACTTTCTTTGGTATGCTAGCCTAGATAGGACCTCTTTAGGTGTGCTCTCTTGAGCTTATTGGCTTACTTGTTTGATTTCATCTATAGATGATGAGTTGAGATAAATATTAGGATTGTTATCCAAGCATGTCAACTTAGGATAGAGATTTCCCTTCAAAACTCAACCATAGGACCACCATTGTATAATAACGTTAGAGATAGATTTATGTTAGTCTCCCCTTAGATGTTTTTCTTTTCTTTTGCATCCTTGCATTTAAAACAAAAACTTATTTTTCTTGTAAACTTCAAAACACTTAAAGATTACTGATGAGAATCTTATCTTTGTTGAGCATGGGAAATGATAAACATGTCTCTTCTCGATCTTATTGTTCTTCCATTCTAAGTCTTGGTATGGTTCAAGTCTCAAATATTTATTTCATAAATAAGTGGAGAAGTGGCTAAAATCTCTCTCTTGAGGTTAATTAGTTGTTATCCACAGCAAAAACACCAACAAATATAAACTCTTTTGCCTTTGGGATTTTCTTTCGAAACTCTTTTAACAAGAGCATGTTAATTCACTTATGTGCTGATGCGTAAGTCTCCAAAGATCGAGTTACGGCAGAAGGCGAAATTAATATTGTTCATTAGAAAATACAAACCAACAAAAACTTTTGAAGCCGAACTACAACTGCTCTGATTCCTTAAGAGGGATACGTAGGCATTGGGGTAGGGCCCAAACGAGCACAATTTTTATTTTCCCTACATTATTTTTTTCTTTTGCATGCAATCCCCGTACAATTCAGATATAGATTCATACACACCCATTAGATTAGAACAACAAGAGTGGATACCGTAGAGTACTACGGGCGTGTGAGGTGCTAATACCTTCCCTTTGCGTAACAGACTCCCTTACCCGTATCTCTTGGTCGTTCGACCTTGATTTCACCCTTCTTAAGTTTTCTCAATGTTTACCTTTCCCTTCCCGTGAGATAAAAAACGTTCGATAGCGACTTCATTGTTTGATGATTTTCAGCCGATTGTTTCACCTTCTTTATATTTTCTGCATTATTCTAATCATCATCCTCCACCTCTATTAATTGGAAACCTAGATCTGTTAATTTGGATGCAAAACAATACCGAGCCTAATCTCACCATATTTTCTCTAATTTTAAGCCTTGTAATTTATTAAATATCCATTGGTTGAGTTTGTTATAATCTTTTTTGTATGTTGAGTTGTGTTGTGGGCTGTGTGAATTTTTCAATAAATTTTGAATTGATGTTGTATTCTATATCATGTTGTTAAAGTTAACCTAGGGTTGGAGGTTGGACATTGTTCAACATTGTAATCTTTATGTGCTTGTGTAAACCAAAACCTATTAAGTTTGGTGTGTTTTTCTCCCTGGATTATTATAGAGCATGGAAAGGATTTTGCTTACTATCATCTCTAGGTTTAGAGATCAAAATCATTTTAGGATTTCGTAGTTAGAGAACCTTCAACCTACATTATCTTGTTTGACTTACAATCATATTGTTGAAATTTTGCAAGCATCTTTAGGTAGAGAGTTCAAGAGCATTCAATATATGGTTTCTTTTTGAGTTGATTCAATGCACAGTTTTAAGGTAAGCACATATTAAATGTTAATGTCAATAGTAGTAGTATACGTTTATGGAGTACGAGTCTTGCACTCTAATTTATTAGGTTATTGACTCGTAGTTCTTACTCTATTAATTTGCCGTGTTTTATAGTAGTTTCAAAATTCTGGTGCAGGATTTTCTATTAGGATCAATTTGAATTCAGTACCATATAATAATTTGTAGATGGCAGAAGAAGTGCTTATGTGTGAGGATAATACTGAAACCTATGCTATCAAAAATGAACAGAACAAGGGAGAGGAGTGAAATGGGTAATATTTTAGTGACACACTAATACAGTTAATACTAATGTAAATGTAATTGTTCTGATGGCGGAGGCGGTGACCGAACAACACATTTTGATGCAGTTATCTTGGTTTGGATGTTCTGTGTTAAGATAACTTATATTCTTTTCATATTTAGTATGTTGGAAAACAAACTGAACTGTTATAATTTTTTTTAAAACCGAACTGAACCAAATTAACGGTTAAGTGAACTATTTGTTAATTTTGAACTGAGGTGAACTGTTATTAAGTTTATACGATAAAGTAAATAGTTATACTTCTTTTGATTTTTTTTAGTAAAAAACTTTTTTGAAAATTTTCTTACCATTTAATATTTTTGTTGATTAATACTTTTTTGAAAATTTTAACCGAGGTGTAACTACTTATGAGTCTCGAGGTCCCAAAATTTCTAAATGAAA